TGGACCTAGTAAGGAAAAGGGAATCCTTGGTTCTCATTTTCATCTTGATCAGTAAAAAGAGAGTGTAGATCAACCAAAATCTCGACCACAGCATGTTCTTTTTTTTAAATCCGGTCCTGGTTCCTCTGATACCTTCAATAATGTGACACACCCTTAAATATACATTGTGCAATTAGACATTAATTAACGTATCCAGACTATAATCAACTGGTACCGGTGATGTGTGTTTGGAGTGGGTGGGCTATTTATGGTCAGGGTTTATCATTTGGACATGCATCCTTTAACTATGGGGCTTCCCATCATGTCGACAATCTCTCAGTTATATTTGCACAGAAAAAAAACAGATTTTTTATTGACAATAATAAGATAAACCTTTTATGATTTACTACTACATAAATGTACATGTATGGCCAATAATTATAATATATATATTTAGATAGATACCTCTTCATTGAATTAATATTAGCAGCGTCTGGCTTAGTATTTTCTGGTCTCGACAGTCCAGACGGTGTCTAGGCTGGGTGTAACGTGTCATATACCATGTCGATGGTTTTCCTAAAATAAAGAAAATCAATTATAAATATTCAGGCATAATCTAATCTTACCAATACACATACACACACAAGGTTTGGCGATTCTGGAAGCTTCTCCAACATTACTAGGCTTGTTACAGAAAGGTTCTTCATCATTACCAGGTTTGGCGATTGTGGAAGCTTCTCCATCATTACTAGGCCTGTTACATGAAGATTCTTCATCTAATGGAGAATCATTACCAGGTTTGGTATTGCTGCAAACGTATTCACCATCATTACTAAGCTTGTTACAGGAAGGTTCTTAATCATTACCAAGTTTGGCGATTCTAGAAGCTTCTTACGGGGGGATTTTTCATCATTACATTGGCGATGTGAGATTCTTCTATTAATTTACAATCAATAAGGCATTGATCTAAAAGTAAAACAAGTTTTCTTCTTTTCAACTGACCTGGAAGATAAATTAAATGCTTTGAATTCGTGATATAACTCGCTTATTGGTCAATTACAGAAAACAATCAAATTACTCTGTTATTGGAAGACCCTATTTGCGACATTGAAATTTCTAATTCTTTCCAGAATGATGTGGATTCAAAAGGTCCCGGTCTCCTCCCAAGCGACCCAGAAAACTCCCTGAAGTAAGAACTCAAAACTTCAACCACAATACAAAAGATAGGTTGTCAGGCAACGAAACATACGCCCACAGCGCAGCTGGATAGTCTGAGGGGTCGACAAGGGTTGTCGCAATTATTACTTCAAATTTAGTTCTGGACTCGGGTCTTCTTTGGAAACTGGCAATTTAGAATACTCATACTGCTACTGGGCAACTGGCACTTGTTCTTGATAATTAAAATTTAAGAAACTGCAACACCATAAATCTTCTGTAGTTCTGAATTTATACTTACTTGGCTTGTTGGCAAAATGTTTACCAAGTTCCTTCAACTGTTTTATTTTTGTTTTTTTTTATTTAAAAGTTTAGCTGAAATTCACTTTGTTGAATTAAAATTAAATATCGGGATTCTCTGGAGCATGTGGCTTCTATTTTCGAAATTTTAAACTGTCTCTTTCTGGTCTCAAAATTTGATGATTTGTTAAATTATATTGTACTAAAAATTACTGCACAGCAGAGTAAGAAAACCTGGCATCTTCCACCATATGATATTGGGATCGGTAAGTGCAGTGCATTGGATGATGGTGTTGGATTAGATAATATAAATAACAAGACCAGTTCTTAGTTCACCATCTTGTAATATGAGTAGTCCTTTATATCCAGGCACATAACTATACAAAATAAGAACATAGAACTAAAGGGAAGTAATTCCATTTATCTTAATGTACTCGGACAACTAATATATTATATAACATCTCAATATGACACTAAGGTGATATCGTAGACAAGGCCGACTCGCTGGCCAAATATCCTTATTTATTTTATGATCAGTAGTGGAATACCGCGTTTTATCAGTGAAATAAAAGTGTTATTCCACTGACTAGTTGTTCTTACCTAAAATGATTGTAAAATCATAAAATAAATAGAACATTTGTCGTGAATAACATATTTTATTTCATCTCTAAGCAAGAAAACGTTTATATTTTCACTCATGCTAAGCATTCGTGAAAATATAAGTTTTCTTGCTTCTCGATGAAATACAATATGTTATTCACTCTAAAACGACAAATATCCTCTATATATCAGCAACGGCGGAGGAATCCAATCACCGTGATGAGGCGTAGCCTCGCCCATCAGGGCGGCCAACCGGAAATAACGATCAAAGCCACAACAATTTGTTATTCTTACAAGTAAGAAAATGATCGGAACAGACTTTGGAATACTGTGATGGAGTCCAGTCTTTCCTTCCTATTCTCGAAATCCACACTTCAGGTTTCTATGTTGATAGCGTTCTCGTTTGCTTTCCCTGGTTTAAAATCACTTTCAGAATAGAATGATACGATCTATTGCCACCGTTTCCCTGTATTAAATCATTCGTGTGTTTTATTTAATAAGAAAAGAAGTCTTTGTCACAAAATCGCTTATTACAAGTAGTTCTTCTAATAGATCACACATCAATCGTTACGTTAACACAGTATGTTAATACATCACGTTTTAAGATAAACCGTTCGTTATAAAATATTGAATTGTTCTAAAATACGTTGGATAGCCCGGTTGGAGCTGACGTGCCATAAAACCACATTTCATTCATTGACGTTTGATGATTACATTTACTGTCTGAACCATCGTAAATTTTAAACGGATTTCTTTGATTATGAATAAACTTCTTAACTTTGGTTTTTAAAAACTTACCTGTGTGTTTCAAATCAGCTCCCGTTCAATAAAATCCATTGTACAACTAAATATCCCAACGAATAAAAAAGTTCGTCCTTGACAAATTTGACTATTTACTTGTAATTTCGACTGAGAGAAGAAAAACAATGCTTTCGTCACGCGTTGGGTGAATCCAACAGAGCTGATGTAGGGATGTTTTGACTTTGACATCCACGTGTTGCAATGAAAACTAACCGCGATCGTTTGAGTTTGGGCAACGAAAATTATGAATTGAAGGCCATTATATAGATTTGTATTGAACCCATTGATCGCCAGTCTATCAAATTTTATTCACTATGATAATACCACTGATTGCACGGATACGAGTCGTTAAAATAAAGTCATATATAAACTAAAAATATGCTATCATCTTTTGTTATAAATAATTCAACTAGGGACATGAAGCTAACCTCCGAAGTCTCAGAATGTATTGTTAATTTGAGAGCATTCTTTCGATCAAATAATAACCGCTTCAATAACATCTATAAGCGTGTTGCGGCAGCCCTTAAAGTGCCCATTGCGTGGGTATATAATACTAATAAGCCCGTAAGAAGTGTCACATTAATTACCGAATCGACAGTTTTGATCGCAGTGTGATAAGGGAAACTATCCACAGTCTGTATAGAAAGGGCCAATATGTAAGTACAATTATGTCCAAGATTCCAGATACATTATTCAAATACACTTACGGATGTTACGCCTGGCCCCCGGATATTTTCACTTGATCTGATATTTGTTCTTTATTTCTTGTAATGTCTATTAGTAAGTGCACTATACGCAAAACAAAAATCTACAAGATAAACCTGCGGACAAAACAGAATATAAACCCTTCTATCTATTTAAGACACAATGAACATTTTATAACCACTACACGAGGTGTGCATCCATATTATTTTAAGATCCATTTCAGTTAATTCCATATCTATTCGAAATATATGTAATTTTAGACAATTCTTTTTAGGAAGTTTGAAGTAAGACGGGGCTTTAAAAATACAAACTCGAATGATTAAACACTTCTTATGGTTTCAATTTTTGATTTTTATTCAGTTCTCAACCAGACGACTGTGCACTGTACTCAAAGAAAAGGATATCCAAATTTCTCAAACCCACCTCCAAAGGGTATTAAAAGAAATTGGGTTTAATTTCTATAACTCTCGTGGTAAGCGATTCGCAAAAGAAACCACGGAGATGTGACAGCCAGACACAATTACTTGAGAAATGTGGCAAAATACAGGTATCATAGACTTTCACTTACTGGTTAATAACTAAATAAAAAAAATAAATAGTTGTTAAACAGTTACACGATCTGACCTGAAAGTCGTTTTGTGCCCAAATAGTTTGTTTTATTTATAAGCACATTGGATCTGGTAAATGAACATGTTTTAACCATAAGTATTAAATATCTCGGTAATGTTTGAAAATACAACAATGTTAATAAGAAAGCATCATTATGATAATCTAAAATTAAATTTTAGTTTTCATGTTTCTTTTTTTATTGTAGAGATGAAGGATACGAGATTGTATATGTTGATGAAACCTGGCGTTTGGACGGAAAGTCGAAAAGGTAAAACCATGATGTATTTTAACCCTTCCCGAGCTAACCACTTTATACCCATGGAGAGCTATGCAAATATTGAGTAAAATTCAAGCTTTTGACCCTGTTGTGGAAAACCATGCATACCTTGAATATGAATGCAACTACAACTGTAAATTTGCAGATATATAGCCATTATATGTGACTTAAGATTTTTGAATAGTTGTAACTTATGTTTAAGGGTTGCCATGGTTACCAGTGGTTTCAAAATGGCTGCCATATTACTGCCATGGATGAAATATTGGGTATTCTCTTGCCAATAAAAAATTCAAGATGTGCAGGAATAAAGCTATATGGATTTTTAGCATGGTAGATATCTCTTATGTAAGAATAGTATAGGTTTTGGGGGGAAAGTCACTAAATTGTAATAATAATAGGTGTTTTTTGAAAGCAGTCAATAACACGAAAACAGGCAATATTGACATTTTTGCTGTATTAGTGAACACAAATGTAAAAGTCATCAGTAACAAGTTTTATTACCAAAAATATAAATATTAGAGAAAAAAAGATAACAATATCCTAAAATACATCATTGTTGCCATGGTAACAAATTTGAAAAAGCACTGAAACAACATTTTTGCGGTACCATACTCATATAAGTGAACACTAATATATCAGTAACACAGATATTTTATGCCTTATCAAGAAATTAGATATTTAGTAAAGCAATAATTTACAACATAAAATTAATAAATTGGGGTTACCATGGTAACCAATTTGAACAAATGTAGACTGGTTGATTAATTGTGGTCAAATGGATAGTCTGATTAAAAAATAGTTAACTAGGAATGGTTACTTTCAAAACCTGTATTTCAATGTAAAATTTTAGATTGACTAAACAAGCCTGTACAATTAAGTACTATCACAAATTTAACAATAAACAAACAATATGTGATGAATACGTCTCCCTGATCATCGTCAAAATACAAATTTAGCAATAGCACTGAGGCTAAGCAAGTCCATTTTTCCTATGTCAGCTTACCACCAGAGAAGACCTTGAACTTTGACGCAGATTTTCTTCTTGGTTGCTCATATTGTTCAACAGAATGGTATCTCTCCATGCACTCAGGATGTATGGCCGGTTTATCACAGCAGGTGCCACAAATATATGATGTTTCATTCCGATATTCCTTACCTAACGTCCTATCACTGCAAACTTTACACTCGGCTGGTTTTGTAGCTTTGGCACAAAAATGTGGGTTGCCATCAAGTCTCTGTAAATCATTTACAACACGAACATTTTTATTTATTGGAACACCAAGGCTATTGACCAAAGAAATGCGGAAATCTTTTGTTGACATAATATCTGATTCACCTCTTTCAAGTTTATCAGATTTGTACAATATATAAGCGTTAACAATCGAGACTTCAAGAAGATGAAAAAATATTTTTCTCCACCACTTTAGAGATAATATGTACATAATTGGTCATTGACATCAACCCCATTCATGTGCTTGTTGTAATCTGCTATACACTTGGGTTTATTTCTAGTGTCATGATTTGGATTTTTAGGTTTTATAGTGCACCATTCATCAGATCGGCAGTTATTGGTAATCATTGTAACAACTCGGTTGTCTTTCCATTGTAACATCAAAATATCATCTTTACGAAAGGCAATAATTTCACCTGGCTTCATATGTTTTGCGGATTTCAATCTTTGAGGAAAGCCTTTTCTATTTGGCATAACCGTACCATTAATATTAAAACCAGAGTCTATAAGCCGTTGAGCTAATCCCAACGTCCAAAAATATCTGTCTGCATAGACTGTATGGCTTAAGTTCGACAAAGGTTCTACTAAATCCAGTACATGTTGAGCACATTTACTAAGTTCAGTTTCCCGACCATCGGCACCAACGTATAAGTTTTGCTGCCACATATAACTTGTATTGCTGTCAGCCAATGTGAATAATTTCATACCCCATTTTGTTGGTTTCTTTGGATTGTACTGTCTAAATCCAATCCGTCCTTTGAATTTTACCATTGTCTCATCCACAGCAATATTTTGTCCCATTTCATAAAGTTCCTGTGAACGCATGTTGACATGATCTAGGAGCCATTGTATTTTGTATGATTTTGACGGATAAGAAACATTATCTGGTAAAGGGTCAGCAACATGAAGATTCCAAAATTTATCTCGACTAATAACTTCACGAAAGAACGGTATACATAAAACATTATTGGACGACCAGTAGTCTGTAATACTAGGAAGCCTTATTACACCCATACTGATTACTATTCCCATCAGGCGTCTGATATCAGCTTTAGAAGGAGAACTCCATTTTCTAAGTCTAGAATGTGGCTTGAGATTTTCCTGGTTCTGTTCAATTTTACTTCTTGTGATCAAATCTGTATTCTTGGATATTTTTTGAACAGCTTCGTCTGACCATATTAGATTAAAAAAATCAATAGGATTTCTCCTCAACATTACTGGCAACTGAAAGTATAGGAAATAAATAAATGGATGAATGAATGCACCCACTAAATTTTACCAAGCCCATCTGTGTAAAATTCATTTGGAACACAAAATTGAAGATAAAAATGGATTTTTCGGATAATTCATTATAGGGAAGGGAGGTAACTACAGAATGTCAACTGTCCACACAATACCTTATTATATTGACTTTTGTGTTACACAGGCATCGGGGTGAAATGAATTGATATAATTGCAATCAATAAATCTACCATTATTTGGCAAAAAAACCCACGTAAGCCTATTGTCAACATGTCTAATTATCCATGAACAGAAGAAAAGGCGGGTGGGGCCGACTAAAGGAATGGCCAAAATAAAAACTATTGAAGATGGGGATATTTTGTTGTTGATCGATTTATTTACCTTCGTTCCTTGATGTCCTTTGTACTGTTCGGTCTGTGGGAAAGAAGGGTCGTCTTCTCTGGTGACACAAAGCCATTCGCCTTCATCCCAACATTCGTCACGGTCATTATTTTCTGGGCCTACATGATGTTGTGGGTGCTGTACAAAACTGTCATTGTCAAAAGCAGTAGCAGACGTAGAATTTTCTGCAGATAAATCTTCCGTCTCTACTTAGATATACGTCAGAAGAATCCCCGCTTATAACGTATTCACTGCCCGAATCCAAACTGACGTCATCGGAATCGGAATTTATGACATAGTTTATGGCTTGATTCAACCGAAGTTTTTTTGTTGTTAAGGACGCCATTCTTCAGGATGTAAACCTCTTCTTTGACAGAAGTGCATGCACACAGTCTTGGATTTCGAAAATCGAAATCCATTGTCAGTTGCCCATCGTTGAATAGAATTCAAGCAAAGCTGCAACTGACGTTCGATTGTCTGCATGCTTGTCGATCCGTAACACATCTGAAAGTCATCAACATAAAGAGAGCCGTCGACCCCGCGTTTAAGGCACGTCGGTATCGTATTTATTTTGATAGAAAAAAGTGTGGGAGACAATATACTTCCCTGGGGGACTCCCATTTCCTGGGGAAATGGGTCAGAGAATATTGATCTTAAACGACCTATCTTCTAAGAAGTTTTTAATGAAGATAGGTAAGCGACCTCGCAGACCGAGGTTATGCAGGTCGCGCATGATACCATATTTCCATGTGGTATCATATGCTTTCTCCAGATCAAAGAATATAGCAACTAAATGTTGTTTCTGGATGAAAGCATCCCTGACAAACGTTTCAAATCTAACGAGATGATCAAGAGTGCTCCTTTGGGACCGAAATCCACATTGGAGGTCTGTAATGAGGTTGTTTGACTCTAGGTACCAAACAAGCCTTCGATTGACCAATCTCTCCATGGTTTTGCAAATGCAGCTAGTTAAAGCGATCGGACGATAATTCGTAGGATCTTTACCCGGTTTAGGAATGGGAATTATTGTGGCTTCATGCCACGAAGGAGGGAAATTCCCACCAACCCAAATTCGGTTATAAAGATCTAATAACACTAAAAGTGTAGAAAAGGGTAAATGTTTTAAAATTTGATAGTGAATTTCATCTGGTCCTGTTGCAGTATCTCGAGCTCGTTTAAGAGAATCACGGAGTTCAGCAATAGAAAACTGTTCATTATAACATTCATCATTACGGGACTTGAAATTAAGTCGCCTTTTCTCCTGCTGATGTTTAATGCCCTGAAAGGCATCAGAGGAGAAATTGGATGATGAATTGAATGAGAAAGTACTGGCCAGAGAATTAGCGATATCAGGAAATGTTGCTAAGGTGGTATTATCAACATTTAGGTGGTTAACTGACAATGCACTACTTTTACCTTTAATCCTACGAAGCCTATCCCATACCGACTTGGAAGTGGTACGGGAATTTATCCTTGAGACATAACCTTGCCATGAAGACTTCTTTGCCTGGCGTATGGTTCTACGGGCCTTCGCCCGGACCATTTGGTATGCTGCAATATTCTCCATGGAAGGGTGGTTCTCAAGGCGTCTTAAAATACGATCACGCTCTTTCAGAGCGGATTTGCAATCGTTATTAAACCATGGTTTATTGAAACGTTTGGGCTCAGTCGTGGTCTTTGGAATCGCCTGCTCAGCTACATCTTGAAGAATTGAAGTGAATAAGGCCATGGGCTCATCTGCATCTTCTAGCTCCCTCGCGTCAAAGGAGAAGAGACACAAAGATTCAAAAAGAGCCCAATCAGCCTTATGCAACTTCCACCTCTGCGGTCGTTCAACCGGAGAGGGTCCATTATTTTCTATCAAGATCGGATAATGGTCACTGCTACACAGATCTTCATTTACTCTCCATGTAAAATCCTGAAACAGGACCGGGGAGCAAATGGTGAGATCGAGGGAAGAAAAAGAAGCCGTGGCAGATGGTAGATAAGTAGGCGAGTCATTATTTAACAAACACAAATTATTAATATTAATGAAGTCCGCTATTTGTTTACCTCTGTTATTATCATCTGGGCTACCCCAGAGTGAATGATGACCATTGAAATCTCCCGTAATTATAAACGGGAGGGGAAGTTGTGCAACAAGGTCATCAAGATCTCTGGGGTTCAGATGTTAACTAGGTGGTAAATATACAGAGCAGAGTGTGATGGGAATATGTAGAGTCACCCTCACTGCAACTGCCTGTAAAGACGAATTGAGGGCGACTTTACTCTGCGGAATATTTCCATTACGGAAAATGGAAACACCACCGTGTGCTCTACCATCATTATTACCAAAATAATGATAGGAAACAAAATGTCTGAGTGTTAAGACATCTGAATTCTTTAAATAAGTTTCTTGTAAACAAATAGCCAAGGGATTAAATTTTTGAATTAAGATTAGAACTTCATTAAAATTTGGTTTAAGACCACGACAATTCCATTGAATAATAGAATTAGCCATTTTCAGGGAGGTTTAACAGGACTTCTATGATGTTGTTTGGGGTCATGTACTTCAACAACAACATCCATTAGATTGTCCTGTATCCCGAACCTGTTAAAGGTCCCAACAGGATCCTCGTCACCCTTCCTACTACGGAAGGTATTTAGTTTTGAACTTTTAGGAACGCCCTTACCAGAACGTTCCTTGTTAGCGTTTTTGGGTGGATCTCCACCAGTTGGTTGAGGAGTGGGGGGGGGGCACGATCTCCTCAATCTCAGACTCCCCAGACTTATTAGCAGTCTGGGTGCTGAGGGAAGCATTTACAGGTTTTGGAGGTTTCTTCGGTGACGAGGATTCAGTCGCAGCTGGAAATTCAGCAGGTGTTTGACAAGCAATGGAAGCGGTCTTCGGCTTGACTGCATTTGCAAAAGACATTGCAAATGTTGGGGTTGCAGCCTCAACCAACTTCCTTGCTTCAGGATAAGGTATGTTTTTTTCTGTTTTCACCTGCTGAACTTGTTTTTCTTTCTTCCATATAGGGCACTCTCTGGAATAAGCAAAATGAGGCCCTTTGCAGTTTATACAACGGTGATCGAGTTGACAAGATGTACTTTCGTGACCATCTTGTCCACATCGAGCACACGTTGCTTTCCCCTTACATACGTTTTTACTGTGTCCAAAGCGTTGACAATGAAAGCAACGCAATGGATTTGGGATTAAGGAGAAACTGGAATGGAAAGAAAACCAGCTTTGATCATCCTAGGTAGATCTGGTCTGTCAAAGGTCAGGATGTAGGTGTTTGTTTGGATTATGTTACCATTACGTCTGTTGGAAATACGTTTGACGTATGTAACACCTTGTGAGGCGAGATTTTCTAACATCTCCTCCTCACTGCTGCCTTCTAAATCCTGAGACCGTATAACACCTCTCGAAGAATTAAGGGAGTTATGCGGTGCAACTTTGAACGGAATGTTGGCTAAAGTCGTTGATTTTAATAATGATGTTGCATGTGACTCTTTAGCACATTCCACTAACAGAGTACCATTTCTCATTTTCTTGACACTTTTGGGCTCACCGGCCAAGCCAGCAAGACCTTAAGCAATCAAGAAAGGTGAGGTTTTAGCTAAATTAGTATCATTTGTACTCTGTATGACCAGAAATCTAGGCCAGGTTCGGGATGTTTTATTTGGTATATTATTAGTTTCCATATCCTCGGTCGACATTCGTTTTAAACGAGTCTTCTTTGACTGGGAAGCCATGAGTGTAATTTTAAAAGATTCATCCCTGCCTGCTCTCCAACCACCAAAGGGTTACAATATCCATGCAGGCTACTGCGCGGATATCCAGCGCATACGCCCTAAGAGGACAGACAGGGATATACCTAGACAAAGTAAAGATTTAATATTTTTACTTTATCCAGTTGACCCAAGCCGCTGCTTTAGAGTAGGCATTCAGGACACAAAGGTAGATCTGCAACAAATACATTAGAGAATTATGGGAAAGATGCGCCTACTCGTCAGCTAACACGACCAAAGCCGATTGATCAGAGTGGGCCACTCTGACCCCCCGTCTAGGTGAATTGTGGGCCGAAGCAATGTGTTGCAGAAAAAAGGCTCGCAAGCCAAATCCCCGCTCAATTACCAGGATTCCACTCTCCACCGACACGGGCCGCAACGCACGGCAAGTACGTTGCCCCATTACAGGGATCCTTTTAGTCGCCTTTTACGACACGCAGGACATACGAAGGGTACATTCTTATCACCCCCTACACCCCTGGGGGGTCCGTCAATAGAGGAAACCCCCTCGTAATAAAAACTCGTGTTACAGGACATCTAAGGTTAAACCAATGCTTGTGCAGGGGAGTAAACCAGGTTAAAAAAAACTTCCCGACTATCGTCGGGTCCCGCTCTGACAGGCGATAAAATATTCCCGACGATTGTCGGGATCAGCTCTCTAGGGGTTAAATGCAAAATATATTCTGAGTTTAGTATTCGAACAGTATCTGATTTGTGCTATTTTATATTTCCAGGTCCCATTGGCGTATTGTGTCCAGATTGTTCGGACTGTGGACGGTGCATTCGTGCCGGAAAGGGCAGTCGCCTAATAATTCTGGACGCAGGATCTGCGAACAGGGGATTTATCCCAGAAGTAGGGAGAGTATTTCGTTCTAAGACAAAATCGTCCGACTAATACGACGAAATGAACGGGAAGTAAGCAGATCTCCAATTTTTATTTCCATTTAATTATTCATCGAATTTATTCGCAATCATATTACATTCCCTAAAAACAGAAATATTTCATAAAACTGCACTTTGCTTTGGCATCATTCCACATTTTTTTTTATTTTCAGATATTTCATTGACTGGTTTGCGGATACTTAATTACCATCTCTTCCGGAACCAGCTTTGATTGTTTTAGACAACGCGCCATATCACAACATCAGATCATCCTCAACATATCACCCTAAAAGTAGCAACAAAAAATGTGAAATCGCTCAGTGGCTCACCGATAAAGGGGTAGAATTTAGTCCATCTTCTGAAACAAAGATAAATACCCCTTCAATTACGCTGTAATGGGTAGTTTCATTTTAAATAGAAAACATGCTAAAAACCGATTGTGTTTATACCTCGATGTTACAAAATAACGTTTTAAAATATTAAAATTACACTTATTATATATATATACTTTTTTTATTTTTCACAGGCAGCACTATTAAAACGAGTGGCAGTAAATAAGCCAATCAAGGAATTTGAAACGGGCCGATCAGCCAATTTTAACGGTCACTTGGACTTGAGACTGCCAGTTCGCCACTGCGAATTAAACCCGATCGAACTAATACAAGGTGACCTTTTTGATCTAAAATATTATCACTATCAATCACCCTATATTAATATGAAATAGACTCAACAAACTATAAAAAAAAATTCTACTCACATGCTTGCATAAAGTAAAGCATTTTCGTTAGCCTATTTCCAACTTAGGCCTCGATGTGTCCTTTTAAGCAATATCAATCTCTTGTAAACTACCATAATTGAGAAAATGATTTTCTAATATCGACTCAAAAATTGTTCAGTTCAGTTCAGTATTTACAAAGATATGTGGAATTGAAACTTCATTGATATATC